GGACAAGATGATCTTGAAGGTCCCTTCCAACCTAGAAGATTCTGTGATTCTGTGATTCCCAGGATGGTGGGAATGAGACCTGCAGGAATGCAAACACCCTCCTACACACCGGGGTGGGGGGGTCTTGGGGAGCCCCATCCCTCGCTCCCTCCATCCTCATCTCATGCTGTAGAGATGCCTGGTCCTTCCCCCATGGGATGAGCAGCAGCGTGGCCATGATGGAGAGGGACAGGGGGGGCTGGCTGGGGGTATCAAGGAGGGCTTCCAACCCCTGACCCTTCTCCATCCCATCCTTCCCGCAGATGCATGGTGGGAATGAGACCTGCAGGAATGCAAACACCCTCCTACACACCGGGGTGGGGGGGTCTTGGGGAGCCCCATCCCTCGCTCCCTCCATCCTCATCTCACCCTGCAGAGATGCCCCATCCTTCCCAGTAGGGATGAGCAGCAGCGTGGCCATGATGGAGAGGGACGGGGGGCTGGCTGGGGACATCAGGAGGGCTTCCAACCCCTGACCCTTCTCCATCCCATCCTTCCCGCAGATGCCTGTGGCCTCTCGGACCCGGCGCACGTGGAGAGCTTGCAGGAGAAGGCTCAGGTGGCCCTCACGGAGTACGTGAGGTCCCAGTACCCCTCGCAGCCCCAGCGCTTCGGTCGGCTCCTGCTGCGGTTGCCAGCCCTGCGGGCCGTGCCGGCCGCCCTCATCTCCCAGCTCTTCTTCATGAGGCTGGTGGGGAAAACCCCCATCGAAACACTAATCAGGGACATGCTGCTCTCGGGGAGCACCTTCAACTGGCCCTACGGGACGGGGCAGTAGGGGACAGAGCCTCTCCCCACCTGGGGACACTCTGGGGACCCCCCCCAACAAGCAGCCGGACCCCCAATTCCCTCCGGTGCCCTGAGATGGTGCCATCTCTGGGGACCCCTGAACTGTGCCCCAGCCCCACAGATGTCTTGGAGCTCGTCCGTCCTCTGCAGCCCCCCCAAAAACAGTGGGGTGACGGCGTTGTCCTCCTAAACCCCCAGGTACGGGCTTGTGCCACCGCTGTTGGACACCAAACTTCTGGACCCCCATGAAGCGGAGCTGCCTGGACCCCCACCCCCCCCAAATTCCCCCTGGGGACCTTGGAGCATCCCCTGGGGGTGGTACCTTATCCCCCCCCCCCAAAGTCGGAGCCTGGGGGGGGGACACACCGTCCTCTGGCTGCCCCTCCAAATCTGAATTTCAGATGGGAAGTGGGACTGGCCAGACTGGGGTGCAGGGGGGGCTGCTGGCTGGGTAGAGCCATCCTTTGGGGGGGGTCCTGCTGCGGGACCCCCCTCCCTCTGCCTCCCCCAGTCCCAGAAATGGTGGAAAAAGGGTGATTTTAAAGCCCTTTTATCCTGCCCGGCCGTATCCAGCCTCCAGGACTGAAGCGCTGAGCTCGGAGCAGCCCCTTTTTTGGGGACCAGGT